AAGAAAGGGAACGTGGGGGGGGGGGGTAGCCCGAAGGCCAGAGGTAATCGGTAGACTCCCCCTCAAGAGAAAATTAAAAGTTTCTTTTTAAAGCTTTTTTTGAAGAACAAACAACTAAAAAAGAAAAGTAGAGTAAGGAAATAATTCCTAAGAGTTGTGAGGCGAAAGCTAACAGCGAACCGATCAGACCGACGAAGAAGAGGTCTACTCAACGCGGCGGTAAGAAAGGAACTGGCGGGATGTCCGCGCCCACCCCTCTGGGCCTGCGCGGTGGGGTTCCTGCGCATGCCCGAGGGACTGGGCGCGAAAATCCGTTAAAAGAGCTTGCTACAGCACTGATCGATCCAGCGCGTGCGCACTAGATCCCATGGGTGTGAAGCACAGAGACCACATCAAAGATCCAGCATTTGCCCACCCCCTCAGTTGCAATGCATTTTTATGGGTGCATTTTCATACATATTCCCCATCTAGCACAAGGGGACATTTTGCTACTGTAAAATAAGGAAAACAGCAAGCCCCTGGGAGTGCAAATCCTCCAGGCCAACAGGAGTACCACGGAAGCAGTTCTTGGGGAGTGTGTCACACCACATGATTCAGCCCACACAGCCTCTGCAAGTTAGGAAAAATGAAAACACCACATGGAGATTCATGTGGACAGATTACTTACCAAGCAGGTCTGCAGGTTCAGAGTCACCAGTTCAGGACAGTGCGCGCCAATGTATTTGAGGGCTTCATCCTCCAGCTACAAATATAAATTTACAACGGGTGGGGTGAGGAAAACAGACAGAAAAAAGCAACTCATTAACAGTCAAGACAAGCTGGGGCAATGACGAGAGGCCCAAATGTGGGCAACAGAGACAACGTAGGCCTCTAAGAAGAAGACAAAGAAGAAGAGTAGAGGTTTTCGAGATGGGCAAATCCAAAGCATTTTCTCTGATCAAAAAGCGTGTCCCAGAAATCGGATTATAGCAGTCTGATAATGAGAGCCCGCTGAGTTTAGGGAGAGAGAGAGAGAGAAGAGAAAGGATTGGATTAATACCCCGCCCTTCACTATCTGAAGGAGTCTCAAGGCAGCTTACAATCTCCTTTCCCTTCCCCTCCCCACAACAGAAACCCTGTGAGGAAGGTGGGGCTGAGAGAACAGCTCTGAAGGAACTTGTAACTGACCCAAGGTCACACCAGTAGCTGCATGTGGAGGAGTGGGGAATCAAACCCGGTTCTCCCAGATTAGAGTCCGCGTTCCTAACCACCACACCAAACTTTGCTCACCGATATCTTTTGGTCTTTCTTTGCCAAGATCTTTACCCCCTTATATGTACTACCTTACCATCCCCTGTTGCTGTAGAGCTTTATTGTTTGCTAGATTGAACATTATACCTACAATGATTTTTCAGGGGAGATTTTTGAATAGGTCCTATTCTGACAGAATCTGCCCTTGTGACCTTAACAGGATAGATTCAACCCTTCCATGCCCTGCTTGAATGCAGGTTCTTTTGAGAATACAAGGGATCACTATATTCAGCCTTTGATCAACCAACTGCTCCCCTGCACTCTGGAAACCCTGGCTCTTTTGCACAGGGATAAGGATCCTAAAAACTGCAAAATTTGTCTCAAGTCTTTTTAGCCCTTGCATTAAAAAAAAAAGATGCAGAAGAAGCAAGTCTCTTCTGCTTAAGATCTGTGAATCAATGCGCTTCTAAGGGTATAAAAGGAAAGAGGAGGTTTTGATACCCCACTTTTCCCTACCTTAAGGAGTGTCAAAATGGCTTACAATCTCCTTCCCTTCCTCTACCCACAACAGGCAGCTTGTGAGGTATGTGGGGCTGGGAGAGTTCTGAGAGAAATGTGACTGGCCCAAGGTCACCCGGCAGGCTTCATGTGGAGGAGTGGGGATTCAAACCTGGCTCTCTGGATTAGAGTTCACCGCTCTTAACCACCACACCACACTGGCTCTCCCCAGTGGTTTCTGCCACAACTACCACACCTTCAAAGCCATGAAAGGCTAACAAAAGCCTCTGGCCAGGATGATGCCTAACGTGGAGAAAGGATAGAAGATGCCATGCAATTAGTAGGCTTCCCCACTGAAAAGAAGAAGAGTTGGTTTTTATACCCTGCTTTTCTCTACCCTAAGAAGTCTCAAAGTGGCTTACAAAATCCTTCCCTTTCTCTTCCCACCACAGGCACCTTGTGAGGTAGATGGGGCTGAGAGAGGTCTGAGAGAACTGTGACTGGCCCAAGGTCACCCACCAGGCTTGATGTGGAGGTGGAATGGGGAATCAAACCCGGTTCTCCAGATTACAGTCCGCCACTCTTGACCACAACACCACACTGGCCTCCCTCAGCAGCCCTGAGCACTCTGTGTGGTGTGGCAGTCCCAGATTTCCTTGACTGAGCCTTCAAAATACTTGGTCTCTTCATGGAGAGATTCAAAAATATCACCGTTTCGCTACTCAGGTGTGATGCCTCTGAGCCTGCTGGAATTGGCATGTGTGAGTTTTGTTGACTTATTTCTAGCATAACTATTTCTTTGGAGAGCCAGTTTGGTGTAGTGGTTAAGTGTGCGGACTCTAATCTGGGAGAACCAGGTTTGATTCCCCACTCCTCCGCTTGCACCTGCTGATGTGACCTTGGGTCAGTCACAAGCTCTGGCACAGCTGTCCTTGAGAAAGAACAGTTTCTGTCAGAGCTCTCTCAGCCCCACCCACCTCACAGGGTGTCTGTTGTGGGGAGGGGAAGAGGAAGGAGTTTGTAAGCCGCTCTGAGACACCTTTGGGTAGTGAAGGGTGGGGTATAAATCCAATCTCTTCTTCTTCTTCTTTGTTCCCAGTGAGTGCGAGTTGAGGGTTTTTTAAAGCATTACATTTTTGAAAAGGCAAAAAAAAAAGTTGTTTCTGCCACTGAAAATGTTACAGATGTCCTCAGAGCCAGGAAAAAAGAGGGCAAACAACAGAAAACCAGGGCCACAGTTCCATCAATATTTATTCCTCTCAGAATTCCATTAATAAGATAAAAGCGTAAGCTATTTTTAAAATTAATCTGGGTTCTAAAATTATTAATCCGGTTTCTAAAATTAGGTCCACATTTGAAGAGAAGAAGAAGAGATTGGATTTATACCCCGCCCTCCACTACCCAAAGGAGTCTCAGGGCGGCTTACAGACTCCATTCCCTCCCCCTCCCCACCACAGACACCCTGTGAGGCAGGTGGGGCTGAGAGAGCTCTGAGAGAAACTGCTCCGTCAAGGACAGCTCTGACAGAACTATGGCTTGCCCAAGGTCATCCAGCAGGTGCAAGTGGAGGAGTGGGGAATCAAACCCAGTTCTCCCAGATTAGACTCCACGCACTTAACCACTACACCAAACTGGCTTTCTAAATTTGCTAAAACTCCTAACTGGGGCTTCTTTCTTTGCAGGTTGTGGTGACGCTCTCTGGGCAACCAACTGCAAACCTGCTTTTCCTCCACTGCCCCCTTCCCTTTACAGAACAACACACAACAGTCATAAAAACGTCAAGAGAAGCTGTGCTGAATCAGGCCAATGGCCCATCCAGTCCAACACTCTGTGCCACACAGTGGCCAAAGCCCAGGGGCCATCAGAAGGTCCACCAGTGGATCCTCTCAAGGGAGATAATACACGCAAGCAACCTTCTGTGTATGAGCAGACAACGTAGATACAATCTAGTCTGGTGCCCTCTAAATGATGCCAGTTTCAATCGCCTGCATCATCTGCACTAAGACATTTTTGGAGACATCCATCCTCAGGAAAAGCTGTTGATTGGCTTGTGGATCATGTGTCTGGCTATGGAAGCTGAGGTTTTCCTTTTTGTTATAAGAAAGTGCTGCGGCAAGTGCTGCAGTAGTACCACAGATGCAGTTGTTTGGGCTAGGTTTCAGGAAGGAAGCACAGGGAGCCAAGCCCAGCAGGGCTTAGTGGTTAGACTAGGATCTGGCAGACCCAGGTTCAAATCCTAGCTCTGCCATGGAAGCCCACTGGGTGGCCTTGGGCCAGTCACTCTCTCTCAACCTAACCCACCACCCAGGGCTAACATCCCCTTGTCTCCCCACTGAACTGAACACTGTTCTCCAATTATTTGTTTCCAACGTGATGCATTACAGCCCAAGACTCGTTCTGCCTTTCCTCCACGTTAAACTAATCTAGATTCAATCCACCCTTGCCTGCCCTGGAGAGGAGTACCTGTGTGCAGCCTTTAAGAAACAGGGCTTTGAGTCCACCGCAGCCTCTCACCAAAGCCTGGATGCCATCTTTTGTCACTTGGTCACACCAGGAGATGTTGAGCTGCTCCAGCAGGGGGCACCCCTCGCTTGTGAGGTGAAAGGGGAAGAGGGTAGTGGGGGGGAAAGCAGGCAGAAGAGTCAGAGAGAAAAAAAATCCTGGCTTTCAGGACAAGAGAGTTTTAACCTCTTGCCTGCCCATCATTACTCAAGTCTGTGAATAACTGATGCCCCCGCTCGGAGCAGCCTCCAGGACTACCACCAAATGCATGCACTGTTAAAACGATTGGCAAGCGGTGGGTGCAAGGTGGCCAGAATTCCCCACAGGAACACCCTACTCGGAAAAAGGAACAGGTGCGTGTATGCACCTCACACACTGGCCACGCCCCCCAGAGACCCTGGGTGCAGGGGAGGGGAGGGAAAAGGACATGGAAAACAATGGCCGGCGAACAGGGAGTTCCCGTCTGAGTGAATGGCAGGCAACGGGCACTCCTGTGAGGCCCGGTAATTTTGTTGACTTTGCCTGATCCCAACACAGATGAGAAGCCTTCTTCCTCGTCTCCTGAGTAGGGATGCCAGCCTCCAGGTGGGGCCAGAATTACAGCTCATCTCCAGACCAATGTTCCGTCTAAGCTGTGGAGTCTTGTGGGCAAGGATTCCACTTTGTGAGCTGCTGGCATTTAAGCTGTGAGCGGGCGATTTGGCTGCTGCATAAATTAATCTGCTCCGGAGCCGTCCTTCCTGAGCAGAGACGAAAATGCGTGAGCCGGAGGCTAAAAAAAACCCTAGCTCACATTGACAGCTTAGAGGGAACACTGCTCCAGATGACAGAGATCAATTCCCCTGGAGGAAATGGATACTTCGGAGGGTGGACTCTGTGGGCACTGTACTCTGCTGAGGTCCCCCGTCCTCCCCAGGCTCCACCCCCACATCTCCAGGAGTTTCCAAACTTGGAGCTGACAACTGTACACCCCCCACCCACACACACACACACACCAGGGGGGACCTGGCAACCCTACTCCTAAGGGTGACCTTTCAGACTGAGAGAGAGAGCACCCAAGGGGATATTTAGGGGTCATTTTCAGTTTCCTTGAATCCACTAAATGAGACACCAGCGAGGAAGGAGTAAAGTGTCCTTTCCTCTAAATTCCATCTCCGGGAGGCCTTTCTGCCAGCAACTACTGAAGCAAATAAGCAAGTATATATTGATCAAATAAGCATAACAGCAAGTATGATATGAATCAAATAAGCATAACAACAAGTATGATATAAATCAATTGGCCAAAGTGCAATAATAAAGCATAATAGAAACAAGACTTGTTTCTATTATGCTTTATTACTGCACTTTGGCCAACTGATTTATATCATACTTGTTGTTATGCTTATTTGATTCATATCATACTTGCTGTTATGCTTATTTGATCATTATATACTTGCTTATTTGCTTGTGCGTTATTTTTTGCTGGTGGTGTTCTTTTTTGTTTCTAGCAGCTACTGAAGACCTGAAGCAAAGCAAGATTAAATGAAGGGAAGTGTGCACATCCACCACAAAGGTATATATATATATTTTTTTTAAATCAACAAGGCCTCACTAGGACTATACATTAAGCGATCCAAGGTTAAAAGGTGTACTCACGGGAGCTGCAAATCACTCACCTCACTGCTTTGAGGGACAGGTTGGTTATTGAAGTGCAGGAAGCCAGATCAAGATGCCGGAGTTTGGAGCAGAACTTGCTAAGGCTTGTACAGGTACTGAAGGAGAACAGAAGACACAGAGATGCCGCGTTAGGACTGTGCCACCGCAGGGGACTGGCCTTTTTCACAGCAGTCAACTGAAGGATCAAACCAACCAGCCATTTTCAACACTTTGGGAAATGTGACATATATAATTTTCTCTTTTTAACACAAACTGGGAGGGGCATTTGGGAGGCAGAAGCAACAAGTTAAAAAAGAAAGAAAGAGTGAACAGAAAGAACTCAACTACCCAGATGCTTTTGTTTTTTTCTGTGGGTGCATACATCAATGTTTTAAATAGAATTAACTGTGTGAATATTTTTGAAAATAAAACAGACTTCCACATCTCCCCCCCCCCCAAATGATGAGTTGTGCCTTGACAGTAGTCCGTGCATCTAGAAAAGTGAGGAAGTTCGATTTTGGATGGTAGGGGGAGGAGAACAGGAAGGACAAAACGCTTGTGTTTCCTGCTCCCACTGTGTTCCAGAACATCCAAGCCCATCCTCAGGGAACTGGAAACCTACAATATCATTTCATTTTATTTATATTATTCTTAAGATGATATAGAAACACAGAACTGGGACCTCAAGGATCATCTAGTCCAACCCCCTGCACAATGCAGGAAATTCACAACTACCGCCCCCGCTCACCCAGTGACCCCCCTGCTCTACACCCAGAGGAAGGGGAAGAAACCTCCAGGATCCCTGGCCGCTCTGACCTGGAGGAAAATTCCTTCCTAACCCCAAAGTGCCAATCGGCATGACCCTGGGCATGTGAGAAAGGGCCACGAGAGCCAAGCACTGGCTCATCCCTTCCTGCCCCCCCCCCAGGATCTTCCTAAATTCATTACGACTCACACAATCAACATTGTTGTCAGATGATCATCTAGCCTCTGTGAAGAAGAAGAAGAAGAAGGAGGAGGAGGAGGAGATTGGATTTATACCCCGCCCTTCACTACCCAAAGGAGTCCCAGAGCAGCTTACAATCTCCTTCCCTTCCTCTCCCCACAACAGACACCCTGTGAGGTAGGTGGGACTGAGAGACCTCTTTGAGAACTGCTCTTGAGAGAACAGCTCTTGAGAGAACTGTGGCTTGCCCAAGATCACCCACCTGGCTGCATGTGGAGGAGTGGGGAATCAAACCCGGTTCTCCCAGATTAGAGTCCATGCTCCTAACCACTACACTAAACTGGCTCTTAAAAACCTGCAAAGAAAGAGAGCCCACAACCTCCCAAGGAAACCTACTGCACTGAAGAACCACTTTAACTGTCAGGAAGTTCTTCCTACTTTTAGCCAAAAATTCTTGATTTAATTTCAATCTGTTGGTTCCGGTCCAGCCTTATAGGGCAACAGAAAATGACTCCCGTCCATTCTTGAATACTTGAAGCTGGCTATCATATCACCTCCCGGTCATCTCCTCTCCAGGCTAAACATATCCAGCTCCTTCAACCTTTCCTCACAGGACTTGGGTCTCCAGAACCCTCGCCATCTTTGGTGCCCCTCCTCTGAGAACATTCCAGCTTGTCCACATCCCTCTTAAACTGTGGTGCCCCAAAATGAACACAGTATTCCAAGTGAGGTCTAACCAAAGCAGAGACATGATGTAGCCTTCTATTTTTTTTAAATCAACATTATTATTATTATTATTACATCTATTGGATTCTGCATTTTGGAATCCCACATCAAGGATTCTGGTAGGGAAAATGTGACAGAGTACAGTTGTTCTGTGCAAGCTACATGGCACCGTAGGCTATGACCTCCTCCCTGTCCAAAATGAGCATGATGGACCATTTGGGGCAGAACTTTGTAGTTCAACATGTAATGGCGGGGAAGGGATTGCCAGGCAGAGATTCAAGAGGCAGTGGCCCATTGACTTCCTAACTTTCTCAACCCCACCCCCAAAAAGGTGTGTGTGTGGGGGGGGGGGAAGATGTGTTTCTATGGCTGGAAAGCTTCAAGGGTACAAGAAATTTTCCAGCCATAGAAACACATCTTCCCCCACATACATACACCAGGGCTATTTTTGGGCAGGAACGCACAGGAATGGAGTTCCGGCTGGCTTCCGAGTTGGCCACGCCCAGCAGGAACTCATTAGCATAATAGACCACACCCAACAGCAGAAACTCATTAGGATTGGCTACAGTAGGGGTGTGTGGCCTAACATGCAAAGGAGTTCCTGCTACAAAAAAGCCCTGGGTTTTGACAACAAACAAGGTAAGCAGAATAACAAGCAAAAGGTGGGTGTGGCTGGATGACCACACTTCTGGTAACATGGGGGTGCGGCCTAATATGCCAATGAGCTGTGCTGTCATGGGTGTGGCCTAATATGCTAATGAGCTTCTGCTGTTGGGTGTGGCCTATTATGCTAATGAGTTCCTGCTGGGCTTTATCTACAAAAAGAGCTCTGCATACACCTGTTATCTCTAATCCGTTCACCTGCCTTTGAGATGGTGGAAGGTTTGTGTTCCTCCCACTGAGTGAAAGCTCCAAGTAATTAGCCCTGGGCAGGAACACACAACCCAGTGATATTACTTTCTACCAAGAAATAAAGAGAACACTGTCCATATGTATGATCCCCAAACAGCCACTGGCTTTATTACCCTTCTTCTACCCACAAGCAGGAACCACCATTTCTGCTCATATACCTACAACCCACCAGTCCTTCATTACATGGAATGCTCTACCCTGCAAAATTAAAGTTACTTTACAAGTTACTGTCAAATCCCAAGGCCACTTACGCATCTGTGATCTTGGTGCAGCCGTTTAGGTTCAGCACTTCAATATTTCTGCAGTTCTGTGCAAACGTCCTGCAGAGCAGAGAGGAAAAAAACACTGCTTTTCACACTTATTAAAACAACATGCATTTCATATTGGCATCTGCTTTTGAAAAACTCTTCCATTCACTGGGGGTAACACATGCAGTGGCACCGCAGGACAATTCTTCCCAGCTTCATAAGCAATATGAACAATGACTCAGAGAAAGGAACAGGGCCAGCTAGGGAAATGCCTTTGCTGCAATAACAGTGGGCACAGAGTCATAGCAATCTTGGCGTTGACCAACGGGAGAGCCCACCACTAGAGGAGATAGCTAGTCATACTCTTAGAGAACTGGACCAAAGAGCTTGCCTGACAGAACAGAGAAAACATAAATATCCTAGAGGCTAGTGGAACACAGGTCAGATCAACACAGGTCAGAATCTTCTGGCACAGAAGCCTTCCCTGGAAGCTCAGATCAGAGTTGTACGCTGGGTTGTTTTGACCCTCAGAGGCCTAGAAAAAAAATTACCTGTGAGTACAGGGGCCTTCAGGTTCTTAAGGAAAGGTTAATCGCACTCTCCACCTGCCATTAGAGCAGGGGTCTTCAACAAGGTGCCCATGGGCACCATGACACCCGCCAGATGTTTTTAGGATGTGGATGGGGCCAGGTTGGGCCAGGTTGGGCAAGGCTTCTGACTGACTACTGGAAATCTGATTGGCTGTGAATTTTTTTTGAAAATGTTGCTTTTGGCAGCAGCTGCCACCACAGCACAAGGATCAACACTGTGTTACTGAAGTTAAGCTGTGGCAATCGTTTCACGGCTGGTTCTGCCCGCTGTGGCAGCCATTTTGTTGAAGTGCCTGGTATGCCGTGTCAGAAATCCAAATGGGCTCGCAAACTCAAAAGGTTGCCCCCCCCCTGCATTGGAGGCATGGCTTTGCTGAGCAGCAAGATAAACCTTTTGGCCCAATCAGAATGTGGGGTGCTCAGACGTCCTGCCAAAGGAGGATCTGGCCAATAAACTATTTCCCCAGGACCCCGGGATTCTTTGCACACAGTATGCAAATAAGACAGGTGGAATATAGTGGGGAATGAATGGGTACCAAGCAGGCGGGCGTTCTCCACTGATCCCCCTGGATCGACAGCTGTTAGGTCACTGAGACAGATGGCCTGGTGTGACATCCATATGCTAATCTCTGAACACCCGGCCCTCTTATGGGATGCTGACATACACTTTGCTCATCTCAGTACGAAGGAGTTTGTGGTTCAACTGAAAACTCCCTCGGGATTTAGTCTCTTTCTACCCCAAAACACAGAGGTGAGCCGCAATACATATACAGTGATTCAGTCTGAGCAAGTTTGTAATGTGTTCATGGCTAAGGACCTATTTAGATGCACACCTGCAGTGGTATGACTGCTGGAGTCCAGTGATTGCATGGGATCCAAACAGCTTTTCTCCTGGTAACGAAAGGGAGGAAGGGGGTCTCTTTTGACCACCAAAAATGTTGTGCAGGAGATCACTGAACCTTCATAGACAAAAGCCATGTGAGAAGGGGAGCTCTGGTAGGGAGGGGGATTGGGCAAGACAGAGCAAAAATGGTTGATGGATCCAACCAATTGTGTATTATGCTGACAGGGAAAGCCATGGCTACAACGGTATGCGGCAGTGCCGTTCACAGTAACCAGATGGATGGAGGCTATATAAGAGGGAGCAGCTTAAGAGCAGCCTTGCGATGTTCCTTGTACTGTACGGAGGATGCCTAAATTGAGATACGAACTTGGGTTTCCTCAACCCAGGTTTGTCATTCTACAGTCCCTGGATCACAATCTATTGAGAAGAATACAGAGGTCACTTAGTTCTGGGATGCTATAACCTCTGTTGTTACACCTGAATAAATCTGTGAGTCAATAAGCTACCAAGTAAAAATGCTCCAGATGCCTGTTGGCTATCAAAATTAAAATCTTTGTTACGGTAAACAAACATGAAAATCAGACCTGTTTACCTTAATGCATTGTCTCCAACGCCTTGGCATCCGCGCAAGCTCAGCTTTCGCAAGAAACCCCCACATCTTTTAGAAATATTCTCTACTACTCGTCCCTGTAATCAGATCAGGAAGAGAAAGCCACTGATATGATAGCCTGAAATAACTAGCAGAACCCACAATGCCTTACTAAACTCTCCAAGCAGCAAATCTCTCCCACCCCCCCATCCCACTTCTTTGGTAAAAATGTCAATACCATCTTTCCTTCCCTATCCTCTTCCTGCCCTTTTCCACCACACCTTGCTGTCCTTCCTCCACCTTTCCCCTGTCCATCTGAAATCACACATCATTTATATTCTACAGAATACCTGGCATGCAACAGACACAACAAAACAAGTAGATCTGAGACCACTTCATCTAATCCCCTGGGCTGCCAAGATTTACCTCTGGTCAATTGAGTCTTCCCCCAGCAAGGGCACGAATAAAAAGTTGTAATGTCATGTTTGATGATGTGGGTGTGAGAACCGAGGCATGGAAGTAAGACTGATTTTGGATAAGATGACCAAGGGAATACATTCTGATTCAGGGGTGTCGAACTCATTTGTTATGAGGGCCAGATCTGACATAAATGAGACCTTGTTGGGCCAGGCCATGTGTGTCATAAAATGTAATGCCAGGTAGCGGAGATATAAACTTTCTAAAGGACACAAACATAAAGGGTTTTTCTTTTACTTAAAATAAAAACATGCTTAAAACATTAGCACTCTTGCAATATTTTGTTTATTTAACAGTGTCTGGTAACTGACACCTCTTGCTCTGAATTACTGCATCAGCATCTGTGCTGTTGCATCCTGAGTATGCTGTTCAGGTGTGTATCTGTAAGCTGCAAACCTACAATGATGCAGCAGCAGCAGAACTGGAAGAAGAAGCAGAAGACGTCCAGTTCCACTGTGGGCCTGACAGAAGCCCTCCGGGGGCCTGATTTGGCCCCCGAGCCGCATGTTTGACACCCCTGTTCTAATCGGCACAGGTCACAGTTTATTGCCAGGCAGCTTCATAACAGTGGCTGTGAGACTGGGTTGTGGCTCGGTGGCAGAGCATCTGCTAGGCACGCAGAAGGTCCCAGATTCAAACCTTGGCACCTCTAGTTAAGGATATGGCAGTAGATGATGAGAACCTCTGCCTGAGACCCTGGAGGTCTGCTGCCAGTCTGAGTAGACAAGACTGACTTTGATAAACTGATGGTGTGAGTCAGTATAAGGCAGTTTCACGTGTGGGCAGTTTATGAGAACAGAAAGGGGTGTGAGATATTTTGGTGCCTGAAGAAGACTGCCCGAACGACACTCTCCCTCCCACCTCAGTGGTAAATACATCATCATAAACCAAATGAATTGATCATTTCCAGACCTTCCAGGTTATCCCACATGTCCCAGACAGAATCAGGCTGCTACACCTGGCCTAGCTGCGTTGTGTGTCTTAACGGCACAACATTCTTGAGAAATTATGTGGCCCATGGGGTCGCGAAGAGTCGGACTCGGCTGTGCGACCGAATGACGACGACGACACTAAATGGGGGTTCTGCCCCCCCATACAAACACACACAAAAGGTTCTCTCCCAAGAATTAACAACTGCTTTCGTATTAAGGTAAAGGTAAAGGCTTCCCTTGCTTGAAAGCCAGTCGAATCCGACTCTAGGGTTGCGGTGCTCATCTCCGTTTCAAAACAAGAAGAGCCACCGCTGTCCGAAGACGTTTCCGTGGTCATGTGGCTGGCATGACTAAACACCGAGGCACACGGAAAGCTGTTCCCTTCCCACCAAAGTGGTACCTATTTATCTACTTGCAATTTCTTGCTTTCGAACTGCTAGGTTCCATACAGAATGATTTAACGTCGTTTTTAGCATCTGAAATGGCTGCCACGGCTGTGAAGGCTCCCCGGAGCTAGGGACTAAAAAAATTAATTGTTCCTGTCTCTGGGGAAGAGAGGCAAAAGGTAATCTTACGCAGTGCCGTAATTACGGTTTAACAAGAGAAATGGCTTTTGCACATCACTTAATTATACCTCTATGTCCCTCTGGAAATCAAACAGGTCAATGCGTTGCCAGTTGCTGCCATCCAGGGCCAGGACGTTCCATGCCTGTAGAGAAAGGCGGGGAAGAGAAGGGAAGTCAAATCGGTAGTCAGATAAGGGGGGGGGGAGATGAAAGGCAAATGGCATCTGTGGTCAGATTCAGATCCACACTATTGGCTGCTAATGGAGTGTTTATTATTTATTTATTTATTCATTCATTCATCTATCTATCGAATTTATATCCCACCCTCCCTGCCAAGGCAGGCTCAGGGCAGCTCACATCAAATATAGAACAGTTAAAACAAAGATTAAAAAGGAGCAATACAATTATAGATTTTATAAAATATAAAGTGCTAGTTTATGTCAGGTGGTGTTTGCCATGAGAGCCAGCAGACCCCTGCAAGACAGGACCCAGCCAGGTATCAATGATTTTGGGTGGCAACCAGACTACAGGGAAATGGTTTAAATCAATGGCTGGTTGTTCTGCTGACTATTTGGGACTTCAGATAAATAAAGAGAAACTGCAGACAACTTTTGTACAGGCGTGCGTATGCATCAGCAGAACTTCTGCACTCCCCAAATAGGGAAAGCTATGATTTACGCTACATTCTTTACACAGACCAACAGGAAACGTCTACATTAAGGGTGTGTGCTTGGTATATAAACAGCGGAATAAATATCCAAAAATACCTTATTGGAATTATTGGTATTGTTCGAGTATTTATTTAGCCGAATACAGATTAGAAAATCTGATCCAGCTACTGAAATAGCTGCACCTGAATAAAAGCCAATATTGTTCGGCTTTTATTCAAGCAGGGTAGAAGGCATTTGAAGAGACTGTGGTCTCTTTAAATGCCTTCTGAGTTCACTTGCTGTGCCGCCGTGGTGTGACTTAGCGAGTGAACTCAGCAGGCATTTAAAGAGACAGGTCTCTTTAAATGCCTTTCCCCCCTCCATTGGTTTCAATGGATAATGGAGGCACCTTCTTTGGAGGCCCATATAATTGGACCCCCTGGTCCAATCTTTTTAAAACGTGGCGGGGGGGGGTTGAGCCCCCCAGCCCTGAACACCCCCAGATCGATTCTCCATTTATACCCTATGGGGATGATATCCATAGAGTATAATAGAGCCAAATAAATTCAAGTTTTCTGAATATTTACCCGAATCCCAATATTTTTCGGGTCCAATAGACCTGAATCAGAAAAAAAAAACCCACAAATTTTTTTTGCATACCCCTAGTCTACTCATTTGCTTTGGGGTTGCTTTAGTTTGGGCACCAGTGCCCTCTGAGACCCAGACAGCAGGTTTCCTTATGAAAGGAATGGGAGGTAGGTTTCCTTGTGAAAGTCAAGGAAAAGCAAAAAGGAAAGGAAGGAAGGAAGGAAGGAAGGAAGGAAGGAAGGAAGGAAGGAAGGAAGGAAGGAAGGAAGGAAGGAAGGAAGGACCACAGCCCGTCTAGTAAAGTGCCCTGTTTTCAACAATGACCAGCATGATGCCTCCAACACACCTACAGACAGATCCCTACTTATTCCCTATTTATTTCAAAAACTTTTTTTTCTTGGAGTGCAGAGGTTTCAATTGCTAAGACCCATCATTCGTTTAAACTAATCACCCTGACAACATCACATGTCATTTTTTTCCGTCTGGAATTTACTGTCATTTTCATCAGATGACCCCAAGAATGAGACAGAGCAAAAATATCTATCCCCCTCTCTTGATATTATTCATAATTTTACAGACCTCTTATCATGTCCCATTGCAGTTGTCCCCCCCCAAAGAAACCCCTGAAAAAGTTCCTGACATTGCTTTCCTCAAAGGGAAGGTACTTTAAGTCTTTGAATACTTTGGTGTTTTTTGTTTTTTTTACCCTTTCCAGCTCTATGATAACTTTTTTTTACATGGGGCAAATACAAAGCTATGGGGCATTTACATATGGAATATCATCTACAACTGTACAGGGTATTCCATATGTGACTGCCCCATAACTTTATAAAAAGTGATTATGCTACTGGCCTTTTTAATTTTCAACACTTCTAACAATCCTTGCCCAATTCATTTGCCAGGGATCTGCCATAATACCAAGATCTCTTTCCTAGGCAGTCACAGAGAGTTCAGAACATGCAAACGCAGGAATTCCTCCCCCCCCAACATGAAGGACACGTAGCCAACGGACAACACTCAGCGCCTCAGCAGAGGCTAGGTGACTCCGTCTTGGTCGGGGTGGTGGTGGTGGTGTAGCAGTCCTTGGGGGAAGACAGTAAGGAGGTCACGGCCTGGCGACCGTGAACCTCTACTTTTTGGTAGTTAGGGAAGTAGGACTGGATGACAAAGGATAGAAAAAACAGAAAGGCTTAAGGAGACCCCAGACTTGGGTGGGATACCACCCCAGAGCACTGGTATGTTAGAGGAGATGGAGGTGTCCCCAAATTAAATGCATTTCATCATTCTGTTTATGCTGCCCTGTGGATCCTTCTAGGTGAGAAGTGGGGCAGAACGCATAATACGTGAGTGGTTCTCTAGGCATCTGGCAATGCTGTACTGGAGACATACGATACGTGTGACATCATACTTCACCAGTACCCACCACACTCATCACAAATTGTGACAACCTTGCTTCCTCCTCTTCCTTTTTGCTCATATTAAGCTGTGACATATTTTGGTGACAGATACACAGCCAAGCTGTGATCTCTATGAACATGCAAGAACACCCACTTAAGTGCATCATCCTTTTGAGAAGTTTGAACCACAAGGGCATACAGAGCTATTCTTCAGTGACCGATCTCCAGCATTGCAATTCCCTTTCTCATGAGTTCCACCAAACCCAGGCATCTTTTAAGAAAGGATGCAGATTGTTTCTCTTTGGGCAAGCATTTAATGACTAGAATGAAGTGTGTCTGTGTACAGACAATAAATGGAGACACCAGTATTTACCTAGTGCTATTCTCTAATATTCAGAAGAACAAAAGAAGTAATCTTATACAGGTTATAATTTGTCCTGAGTCTTTAGGGATATGGAAGATTTTAGCAACATAGCTGACAGTACAATAGGCTGCACTGACCTTCTAAAGAAGTAAATGGCACCCACCAATTTCCTGAGAGGTGACCTGCAGCTAACCCAGCATCAGAAAAAGTGAGCAGGTTTTGCTTTCGTACCAACAGTATTCTAAATTACAGCTCCATATTAATTTTCACAGATATCAATGGAAGTGACTGAGTCCTTCTGGAGGACTATGAGGGAGCTTTGCAGTGAGCCAAAGAACCTCTGCATGCTCTGCATACAGAGAGACAGCACACAACCCCACCAACATTCTTGTCACACTGGATATGTCCAGCAAGAGAGACGGGCACACTAGCAGCAAGCCCATCATTTTGCGCAACCCAAGAGTTGCCACTTGTGTGTGTCTGCGTGAGACAAGAATGAGTGGAAATCCTACTGCATATAAGACTCACGTCATATTGACATCTCCCTGATTCTGAAACAAGCTGGACAACTGGGGGTGTCCAAGAGATGAGCAGTTAAAACCTCACCAGTACTGATATGCAAGCATTCTTACCCTGGAGACCTGAGCACAACGGCATAGGGTGACCACATCCAGGAAGGAGAATATTCTGTTAACAAACAAACAGATACAAATAACTAAGTGCTGGAACTTTCACACCATTTGCTCCCAAAGTCGTTCACATCAGGGCTCGATTTAAACTGTAGCTCAAAAGAGCTTAGTCTGGCAATCTTCTTCCAGTCCTGGGACTCAACCCTGAAACATTCAGAGTTAGACCAATGCCCGTCACTTGACTAGCAAAAACCAAAAACACGGTGAACTGACCAGTCAGTTATTTAGGAGAACTGTAACAAATATTGATTACTGGAACAGCAAACCACATATCTTCAGATATTAGTCATATTAACATATGATGAGTTATTGCAGAACCATCTTCCAACTGTTGCAACATTCTTTTTGGAAACGTTGCTATTTCTATTCTGTGGGGGGGGGGGGACATACAAGGATAGAATCTACACATCCTACACAATCCCACCCAGTGGAATGCAGTACATCTTTCAGCTAGGTTTATGCAGATTTTTTTTTTCAGATCTACAAACACAGGGGCTCCTCTCCCGACTCCAGAACTTGATTTCTACTAGGATTGTTAGTGTCAGGTGGAGAGATTACTACTGGGTTAGAAAGTGGGTGTAAAACCCAAGGTAAGCCCTAGATGCAGGCATATTACATACCTATAAGAAGTACAGGAGAAAATAAACTGTACATGGGTAATCAACACCTTCTCATCACATACATCTGATGAAGTAGTCCATGGCTTATGAATGCTTATGTTACAATAAATGTTATATCAAGGTTACATGCACTCAGCACTAAAAATAAATTCTGTACCAAGGTAATTTAAACTTTGTGCCAAATCTAAACCACATAACCAGGACAGAAATGCAAAATTGCTTATTTAACACGATTTATTCTATGGGTTTGGGTTTTTTTACCATTCTGCATCAATTATTCTGGTTTTGCTAGTCATGAAGAGAGGAAAGGAGCTTTGCAAAGTGCTGTCATCGTGCCCTCAGCCATTGAAAATATTATTCAACCCCTCTCTCTTTGGCTTCTGAGATTTCAGTAGGTGAGGGCTGCAACTTTCAGCCTTATCTGCACAGCCATAAAGGCTGCCGTTCTTTTCTTTTCTTTTTAATGAAAGCAGAAACACTCTGAAAACTGAGTTTTGCATCTAGTATCACAATTCTGTAGCTTTTCTGTGCTTGTACAGAAACAGAGCCTGCACATTCCTGCCCTCAGTTTCCTGCCATGAAATAGCTTGCCCTTTGCCAGTACAGAATACAACTGGTTTCCTGATTACTTTTACAATCCAAAATTCCTTTTTTGGATATAACGGTTCCTGGAATTTTCCCTTATTTCCCCCCCCCGCCCCCAATATGCACACACATGCTGAGAAGCTGCACTATATCATACCCACAGAAAAGCAGTGACTACAAGTAAAACAGACAGCAAGTGAAATCAAGGCACAAATCTGAATAAGTTCATAATCATGGACGGGAACGACAGGATTAACCCGCACTGTCTCTTCCAAGTTGTCTTTTGGTTAAGGAACCACCCTGCAAACCTTCCAAGAACAGGAACCTTCCCACAACTAAAAACAGCACTCAAAGCTTACTAAAAGCTCAGTGCGAATGCTCTCTTAGCCCTGTCAGATCAGCTTTACAAGACTGTCTGTAGCCAGGCTAGACAAGGCAGCCACATGCCCTAGAGGAGTAGGGAGCTCATGACGCAGGTCTTCTCTTTGTCAGCCTGAACCGGAGGTTGGAAAGAGAGAGCGGTTATAAGAATCTGGTCTAGAAACAATCCCCGCCAGTACCCCCCCCTATTTGCAAACCCACAATGCAGTTAAGTAAGTCCTTTTGTGCCAGTGTCTTTGTCCACACCTCCCCTTTCCAACATTATGAATTCTTCCCATCACCCAATGGTTGGCCAAAGGAAGGCCGATACTGAGTGTGTGTGTGTGGAGGGAATAAGCAAGAGTCCAGGAGCACCTTAAAGACTAACGAAATTTATGGCAAGTGAGTCACTGCTCACTTCTTCAGTGATTCACGAAAAGCTCCTCCCCTGCCACAAATTTTGTTAGTCTTTAAGGTACTCCTGGACTCTTGCTCTTTTCTACTGCTACAGACAGACTAATGCCACTACCCATCATGGGTAAGGAGTAGATAACGACATAAGGGAAGCTATTGCTATCTTCTAGTGGACCATCTTCTCAAAATGAAATTTATGCAAAGCGGAATTTACACAAAACTCCCAAAGCTTAGACATGAACATTGGGAGCAATGAGATGTGAGTTAGATCAGTTTCCCTGTGTTTTGCACACTTAGCATTTGGAACATACATACAAGGGAGTAGATCCTTCCTCGAGCTCCATCATGACCTCCTAACAAGAGCCGAGAGAACCCTCTTGAGGTTACAGACTGTGAACTGTGTGAGCCAGTAAAGCAGAGGCAAGCACAGACACAGCCTAAAGCTCTATTGACGCTACGAATAATACCATCTGACTGTCATGACTTTACCTGAAAGAATCCTGGGAATTGTAGTTTGGTTTGGTGCATAGAATTCTGTTACACATTACTCTGTCTGCCCTGCCCACCCTCAGCTGTGAATGACATTTCCATAGGGTCCTAGAGAAGAAGGAACAGTTCTTAATTTGGCTAAAGTTTATCATGTGGACACGCATTCCATGCTACATCTCAAATGTGTACCCCTGCTTGCCCTGGAGAGATGCCAAAGTACAACCATCATTATTATCTGGACCAAAGTAAGATTGAATGATGGGAGTGGTCTTAAATGTGTGTTTCAGTATTACTTTTGTTTTAAAGATACACTTTTAACATTAATATAATAATAACCAAAGGGCTGGAAACATCATAAACAAACAGTTAAAATAATCTTGAATCCTCTTAGCCCTGAGAAGGGAGAAGACGGGATTAAAAGTCCAAGGACGCAACCCATCTCCCATGGAAGGCATAAAAACAAAATTCATGGCCTCCCAACTCCCATTAAAGCATTGTTCATCTACAAAAATACAGCTGAGAGTCACCTGTTAAAAGAATAAGCAGTTAACTGAACCTATACCCTACCGAGAGACACACAGAAAATTTAAGAGAAAACAACCCGCTTTTAATTGTTTGTGTGTGTGTGTGTACGTACATGCATCCATGATCTCAATCAGTTACACAAAGACAACCAGCCTGTTAGTGATTTGCCCATCTCTGCTTTTAAGACTAATACAATTTCAATCCCTTGCATGTTTAATTAACTTTTTGACCTCTGTGGCTTAACATTTTCAGAATGGGTGGACCACATGATAGCCACAAGCAAGAGAATGGTTGAACAGTGGCCCCAATCCAGGGAACTGAAGGAGCCATAGATCACTGTTCATGCTTCCATACCTGTAGATAAACAGTGCACACTTACGGTACTGAGAGACTTTCAATGGTGGCATGAGGATATAGTCTTTCAAGACTACTCACACAGAAGAGGAAGAAGAGGAAGAAGAGGAAGAAGAGGAAGAAGAGGAAGAAGAGGAAGAAGAGGAAGAAGAGGAAGAAGAGGAGGAAGAGGAGGAAGAGGAGGAAGAGGAGGAGGAAGAAGAGGAGGAGGAAGAGGAAGAAGAAGAGGAAG